ATCGCCTTTAACTCCACGTAAAACGACAAGTACCAACCCTTACCTGACTTTCTCCCTCTCACGGGGCAAACGTTTTATGATTCTGTCCAGATTTAGAAAGTTGTCAGGTTTATCAAATGCTTGCCTCTACGAAAGATAAAGGTGCGGATAAAATTACTGCGGTTGTTTTTAAGCGCATAAGACCAGAGCTATCACCAAACTTGTCAAAGTTGTTTACCCGCTGCCAGAAGCAGATATAATGGTAGGTATCAGCTGTTTTCCCTGTTTACATTAATGCTATTGAACGCTCATCACAATTACAATTTCGTAAAAAAATATATATATATATATATATATATATATATATAGATTGTGTGTGTGTGTGTGTGTGTGTATCTGTACGTTTATATATTGGATCGGATTTCCTACATTTTTCAACCGATTTCAACAAAACTTCACAGGACTACATAAAATTACCTTGCGGTGGTTCTGACAGCGCCAAAAATTGGAAAAACACAATTGTTTTTGCACGAAATCAATTTGAAAACACGATAAAACATGATTCTGTCGCGGGAATGAAAGGAGGACAACTCATATCGAGTTATACTTATTATAAAACCCAGGTTGTGTGCGTGTGTGTTGTGTTCGTTTATATATGGGATCGGATTTCCTACATTTTTCAACCGATTTCAACAAAACTTCCCTTTTTTTTTGGCACGTAGTGTTTCTTATTGTCTTGCACACTTTTTTCTTTATTTTTACATTCAGAATGCTTTAAAAATTCCATTTACAAGACAACTGTTTATAATAAAATTCTATTCAATCAATAGACTCATAACGATTGAAAACAATGTTTTTGTTTGAGTTTGGGTTTGATCAATTCGTAAAAAAAAAACCAAAAACTATTTAAAACATGCGTGTCCGTCAACCTTAAACAATAATCTTTGTCAATTTTATTTTTCAGTCTTTATGATGGTCGATATTTGATCTATCTCTTACTGTTACATCCCCGGGCAACGCCGGGCTCTACTGCTAGTATATATATATTAAGAGATTTTATGTTTATACATTCTTTTTATAGATACAAATATTTATATTTAAATGTTTACATTTGATACGCCCTGAGCAGATATGAATTTACGTGAGAGATTTATGGAGGACAGTAAATTCGACCTTGCTAACCAAACGCGCCTCTGTGGCCAAATAAGTAAAACCACGTCATGCTAAATGACGGTTCCGTATAGGATACAGGTTCGATTCCTGTCGGAGGACGAATATTTTCTGTGAAAATTTCTCGGACATTCAGGCCGGTAAATGTTGTTTAATAATGTTTATTATAAACAGAGTATTTACTTAAATATTTGTATCTATAAATAGAATGTATAAACATAAAATGTCTTAAAATAATTGTCGGACTTTGTCCATTTCATAATGTATGACGTCATGTATATAATTTGGGGGATTTAGGCAAATCAGTAAGTAATTCATCGAGTCTAGAAGAATGCAGAAAGCTCTGGACGGCCGATTCATTATATTTTATGACTCATTAGCAGCAGTGAGTATCCAATACTGAGAACCTGAACCGTTTTGATACAACGCAAACCTCATACCAACTGTACCAACGGAGATGAAGAAGAAACTGAATAGACTCGATATAGCGCCTCTACTCACAAATTTAGTGAGGTATTCATCCAAGTATTCATAATCCAAGGGATTGTACTCCAAGAGCCACGACTTCCTTTTTCCCTCAAATCGCTCCATCACAGAGCGATAGCTGGGTCAAGCAATGATATATAAGTAATATAATTTTGGAGATTTAAGCACACACACACACACACACACACATATATATATATATATATATATATATATATATACAGTCACCACAGACAGACTCTTTCGCCGTATCACAGCTCATCAGACATCCAACAACTTCAAGCTGGAATCGAAACGCGACCAATCTGGTGTACGGCAGAAAAATGGAAATTTTAACGCAGTTTCGCCCCAAGAAAGGCAATAAGGCCATTAGGGAATAGGCAGTTACTCAGTGTGAGAGAATAAGAGAGATGGAAAATATTATTAAGTATGAAACCAGGAATATAGACAATAGGTTGTCATTTCAATTAATTTTTGCAGATTAAAGTTGACTGGGAAACAAGAAGCCGGAAGAGAGTTCCATAAACGAGAAAAGGAATATTAGTGTAGAACTTATGGTTACGTCTAGCCATTTCTACTGTAAAATGATACCACCCAGCTGTCAAACTTAAATTTATAAAGCCGAGGTAAAAAAAAAGAAAGCTCATCAGATAAATTACCATAAAAATATTTTTAGAATAGGCGCAGCGTAGCTACGTTAAGGCGGCCAAGTAGTAAGTGAAACCGAGGTGCCAGGTCAGGATCGATAAATGTCTGCAATTGGAAGGTTATCTGAAAACCTAATTCTCTCTTAATATAGCGGTGGACATAAATTAGCTTCATATGATGAGTGTTACCTCACGCCGTATTTATTTTTTACATTTACTCTATTGATTGGATAGGGTTTTGAATACCGATATTCGAAGCATTAAGGCTCTCCTCATATAGAAAATTGGTGCAACACAATCTTTCAGTTATTATTTAGATTGAGACTATATTTAGTTAACATGAGTGTGATGTGAGTGCCTTAATCCGTATTAGAGATCATTTTGTATTTGCAACTCTTGCTAGAATGTCATTACCAAATCTAAGCACAATACAATAATTCTAGACGTGACCTATAAAAAACACGATTGTATTTGATATATACATGTTTTCAAATGTTGCTAAAATGATCTCTTCACTTGAATGCTCTTTATTTAAAATCATTTTACTTCAAGATAATTTCGTCCTCCCTGAACTTGAGTCAAGGTTTCCGATGTCGAAAGGGTACGTTTTAGGAGAATACATAATTCGAACAGTCGCATATATATATATATATATATATATATATATATATATATATATATATATATATATATATATCCTCATCAATAAAGCGATTCGGAAATTAAAAAATATATCTGGTTATCGCAACGTTTGTGCAGTTGTATAATACACTGTGATTACATTTTTTTAATTTAAAATATATATATATTTAGCATCCAAAATAAACGGGGGCGATTACTTGTTCTTTAAAAAAATAAACAAACCATTATCTACATTAAATATTAATCTAGGTCAACGTATTTCAGCAGATATTTATTATTTTTTTTCCGACATGTAACCATCAATTCATTTCTCTTGTCAAATAAGCTAGTGTTATTTAAGTGTTCTAAGATAACAAATTTTTCAACAGGACATAAATTACATCTATTGCTTTTCCTATTGAAAGATATTGCTCTTGTCACAATATCCCACTTAATAATACGTGCATTACCACTATTCCGTTGCCAGAAATGCCTCGAGAGATCAATGCTCTTTTTGTAATTTATATTGCCTAAAGTCATTTTATGATGGCAGAAACGAAATTTCCAATGATTTTCGTTGGCACCAAAATAAAATTTAACTTCGTTACCGGATATATATATATATATATATATATATATATATATATATATATATATATATATATATAAGTTTCATTAAATACGACTGACAAGGTTGGGAAGTTAAGTTTCAATATGTAATTTTTCTTGTGTTCTTATAATTTTCTTCTTTTCTGGATATAAATTCTGTAGAAATTATACAAATATTTTGTATGTCCGAGCGCCTTCGGCTATCTTTCTAGCCGAGGAAGTTTTTCTTTTCCAAACACGGTAAACACATTGTGGCCATAGTTGATATTATTGAGTGTTGGATTTTCTTCTTTATTAATTATGCTTCCATTATACTTATACTTTTTGTACATGTGGAGGATGTTATTATATGTGTATTATCAACGAGTATATTGTGAATATCGTTTGGTAGGTCTCCATGTGTATTTAAATGTGACGTAATTGAGCTATGGTCAGAAAGATATAACGTGAATCTTCTTGTTAGGCATTTTGTAGTATATCCAATATAATTAGTTATGAATATGGATTGATTTCTTAAGTTATATATGAATTTGTTCTCTGTAATTTGGATCTTGCAGGTGAGTTATTATTGACGCTGAGGTTAGCAGCATTAAAATTTTCATAGTAGATAATTAATTTAATTTCTTGCTTTTGTCGACTGTAGTCCTGAAGAACATAAGTAAAATTAAATAAAAACGATTAAAAGCAGCACGATGACAGTCGTATTTAATGGAACTTGAATAAAAGGGTGATTGTTGCCCAAATACAAATATATATATATATATATATATATATATATATATATATATATATATATATATATATATATAAAATCATTAAACGTTATTTTTAGGGCATAATCATATTGTTCAAACTTCAATCATCAAGGCTGCTTTTGTGGCTGAGTCGGTTAAAGCAGATCTATCTATCTATCTATCTATCTATCTATCTATCTATATATATATATATATATATATATATATATATGAAATTGATAAAATCAGATATAAGCTTTCAGCGTTTTCATTCAAAAATCGTAGTACGGAGTTGCAATATATTTTCAAAATAAAAATCACACATTCAAAGATTAAACAGGGAATTGGGTTTACGCACACAATATAATTTTCACACGGAGCACTCTAACCAAGAACGACAATACTTCGAAGAGTGAGTCCCACTTCTGTGTTTATTCCTTGTCTCGTTGAAAAAGGTCACAGGCGTATCCGAATATCCCAACGTTAAAATCGTTCTCTTCTTGCTTCAATTTAGTCAAAAGTCTATATAATAAATATCAATCTTATTGCCAATATTCTTATCATTTTGTTGTCTTTTCATTTCTCAAATTGTATTAACCGCCCTACTATATATATATATATATATATATATATATATATATATATATATATATATATATATATATATATATATATATATATATATATATATATATATTAGGGGTTAATATATATATATATATATATATATACAACAATCGATTTTCCGGTAGCGATGACTCCCAAATCGGCCCGAATTATCCGTTTCCCCACTTGGAGCGAAAATCTTTTAGTCCGTTTTCATTTCGTCTTTTTCTATTTTAAGTTACGTTTCCTAGAATTCAAGAACGCAACACTTTTTATTTATTTTTTTTTATATGAGCCTATTTTACCTCAATAATCCCCAGCTTAAGTTTTCCGCTTATTCTTTGACGTAGAAACCTTTTGTCCGAGGATATTGACAGAAGAATCCAGGTTTTATGTTCATACCATATTTCTTGGGCGGAAGTTCTACTTGCATTTCTTTCTTTGACGCTTATTACTACACCTAGATATTTAACTTTCACTTGTCATATCATTTCTGTTTACCTTGTCTGGTTGGTTTCGAAAGTCATCTTAGAGGCAGAATTTTCTTTGAAATAATGTTTTCCACAGACCAGTCGTCCATATAATAACAAGATTCAATCTTGGAAGCGGTCGACGATCAAACAAGCATTTCTTTCTTTACGACTTACGATCTACAGGCCAACTGATTAACATAGGCGTAGACATTCACGGAGCTATTTCGATCTCTATATATCCTTGATCGTAAGTTGATATCTAATTTTAGATGTGTTATTCAGTCGTCTCATTATGCTTGTTTTTATCTATCCGCCCATCAATTTTTAAAAATAGCATTCATTTTATCGCTTTCTGAATCTATCTATCTATCTATCTATCTATCTATCTATCTATCTATCTATCTATCTGTTCATATCTACCTATCTATATATCTCAGTCAGTTCATATCTATCTATCTATCTATTTATCTATCTATCTATCTATCTCAATCTGTTCATATGTATCTATCTCAATTTGTTCATATATACCTATCTATATATCTCAGTCGGTTCATATCTATCTATCTATCTATCTATCTATCTATCTATCTACTTATACCTACCTTATTCTATTAATATCTAACTATATCTATTTTAATATATCTATATCTATTTGCCCATATATTTTATTCTATATCTATCTATCTATCTATCTATCTGTCAGTTTATTCGTCTCATTTCTCGCTATGGCCATATATGTGCTTCTGAGAGAGAATAAGATTATCTAAGAGAGAGAGAGAGAGAGAGGGAGAGGGAGAGGGAGAGAGTCAGAGAGAGTGAATGAGAATCAGAAAGAGAGAGAGAGACAGAATCACTTGGGGTGTTCATAAAAGTACAACCCTGCTCAGTTCGTCATTTTTCGTAAGAAAAGACAGGTTAAATATATTTTATCAATAGGAGAGGAAAGTAGTTTCCATTTCTTTACACTTTTTCTTCTATGGACTCTATGTTTTTTGGGGTTTTTTTTCTTTGGCTTCCGAGTACTTTACATTCAAATGCCGGTTCCGGTACGACCACCGAACTTAAGTAACACCAAGCCTGTTCAGTATTTAGACGGGGGTACATTTGGGAATACCAAATGCTGTAAGCATGGATGCATGGGTGTTATAGTGGATAATGCAGTGACGTTCAGAGGTTTAATGATGTTCTCTGACTGTATGCCACTAAGACAAAAATAGGGGTCCTGTATGTACTATTAGTGAGAAGTGTGAAAGAAGAAGACTTCTTAAATATGTAGAAGAGATAAAAAAAATGCAATTAACACTTTATTCAAATTAAATACAGATTAATTTTCATTTCACTCTTTGATGGAATGCCTGACTGATATGAATGCCGGGCCGGTCGCACCAAGTGCCCAGCCTTCTCCACGCTGCTGTCTTAATGGCCCGGAATTGTTAATTGGAGAGCCGAGTTCCATTTCACGATGGGTTCCTTATGCTCACTTTCGGGCAGTTACCCTTGGGAAAGGTATAAATTCACCTCATTTAACACCAGCTATGGATTAATTAATAAGACTTGTATCACTAAAAAAATCCTGCAAATTAAAACCTTTCCTGGCTTTAAATCACCATCACATCGATCACTTTTAGAATTGGAACTGAGGATGATCTTAGAAAAAGTCGAAAGTACTTGGCTTGAAAACAACTATGGCGCATTACTTGAAAATTCCATCAACATCAAGAAACGGATTATACAATTGGAAAAGAACTGTATAACAATAAGTAGACAAAATATCGGTATATTATTCCATGAAACATATATATATATATATATATATATATATATATATATATATATATATATATTGTCATCCACAGACAGACTGTTTCGCTCATCAGTGTGGCTAGATGTCCGGTTGCCTCTAGCTAGGATCGAAACCCGACTGAATTGGCGCCGGTCGGAGATTGTACAACTAATCCGTCGGCAGGGATGAAGGTGAATTTAAGCGTATTATTTTTAGATAAATACACAGTGACTGAGAGAACTCAATTCGATTTAACGAAGAGTCTTGCATTATTCGCTGTAATAGTCACTGTTTACAAACCTACACTTCCTCTCCAGAGAGCTCAACCGAAATAATTTTTTTCAGGAGCATATATATAATTATTTATAAAAAAATATGATTCCATCGGGAAATAGAAAGTTTAATTTCAATATTTAAAAGTATAGTTTCATTCTAAAGTGATATTTTGTAACTTAAGCTTCGATACTTCTATATCGAGCACTGCTTTTTAAAAATAAAAACATAAATACTTTTGATCATTAATTTGGTCTTTCCTATTACATCAATATATACATACACACTCGCGCACACACCCACGCACACACTCCATCTTGCCTATATATATATATATATATATATATATATATATATATATATATATATATTAGAACCCATTTAAACATAAACACAACCTTACCAGACTCCTTTAGAAATATATTAGTAGAAAACACAAATATAATAACTTCATTCCCTTGTAAAAAAAAAATTTAAATAATGGAAGCTTTAATAATAAAAAAAAAGAAAAAACCAACTCATACCAATATTAACTACGAACAAGGCCACAATGTGGTAACCGTATTCGGAAATCAAAAACTGCTCTACAACACACTTAAACATAGACATAATGCACACACATTATATATATTCAATCATATTAAATAATTTAGACTTATTATGTCTATATATTTTAGTTTCAATCCATTCAAGTCCACGAATTAATTTCATGGTGACTGTGGAAAATTGATCAAGATAAATTCCAAAATTTTCTTTGAAATAATTTTTATTTTCCTAAGTACTTTCGATCTCGTCTGAGACCATCTTCACTGGTTGCATATCTATTTATGTGTTTTGCGTTAACACCGTAAATTCCATTTTTTTTTTCATTTAAAAAGACACTCATGCTCACATACATCCAGAGTTTAGACAGATATTTGTCAAAAATACACTAGTGTTCAATCAAAAACAAAAAAAATAACAATAGAAAAAAAATAGAAAAAAGAAATTCCTGGCTTTAAATCACATGCAAGTGATTGATAATAAATATAAAACGAATCAATGAATCAAAAACTTATTTTTATTTTAATTGCACGCTTATTTGTGATATAATATATCATTGTATGTTATCTATTATTAGGAATATTCTATAGTTTTAATCCGAATTTCGTTAACTATGCTTAACCTTCAAATATAAAATCAAACATCACTGATAAATAGCATTTTTATTATTGAACTGTGAACTGAATCAGTGATATATGTATAACTTGTCAAGTTTCATTTTACGTACTATCAATTAGTTAATTGCCATATATGGTAAACGATTAGCCTATTATGTTTCTTTTGATTTATGGTGTAGCGATACTACGCTTTCCACGCCCACAATTTACTCGACTGTAATTGGCTAGTAAATAGATACTGCTTTACCATAAGACACTTTAGCAATCGCAGTGATTACTTTGAATTTTTCTGCCGTGAATTTGCTCACATGTTTTTGTTACAAAATCAGTGATTGGTTAAATTTTAACCAATCAAACATTTTTGTGATAAATCTACTTTCCCGCGTTGTCGCTGGAGCCTGCCTGCAGTTATATAAACAAGTGGTTTATTTCCAAAACTTTCCGTAGAGTCTAGATATTACGCCTGTCTACACAAATCCACGACTTTGCTCAAAACACACACACAGACACAGATTTTTGTATCACATTACACTATTCTTCTCCGTGACTAAGCCAAGTTTACAAACCAGCACTCTGTTGATTACACAAAACAACACACTTCTTAATTGACTGTATTCCATTCAATATCAAACATTCTATTCAACATAGAATCCTGAACATTCTTATTCAGGAGAAATTCTTTTGAACATTCAATCTTAATCAGAATATATTTAAAGGAAAGCTACTTTTTCTCCTTTAATTAGTACACACCACTGCATGATTGTTTTGTATGTTATTGTTTCAATATATATTTTATTGTTGTTGCACAATTGGAGTTTCGTTGTTTTTTTCTTGAATCGTTAAATGTATAACAGTTGAATGCTCTTAGAACACGCAATTACATTTGATAACCCGAACACATAAATTGAGCAGCATCCATAACTTACTAGCAAGAAGATTTTCTCGCCGTAGGGTGACATTTCTTTATACGATAGACAGGTTTCCAACGAAAGCTATAGGACTCAGTGCATCTTGCTATTCAGTCCGTACCTAGTGGGTAGATATGGATTCATACCTTTCCCAAGGGTACTTTCGCGTAAGTGATTGTAATGAACCCGACTTGAATTCGAACTCCGCTCTTCCGATTTCTCATTCAGAGCCGTTATCCATTCCACCACACAGAACGTCCTTGACTTGCTGTAATTCATTTAATTGCGAATGTAAGTAAGCATGAATAGTAAAAGCGTCATGAATCTCCGAAATCGAAGTAAACATTTCTCCTAAAGATCTAGAGCTAATTAACTTCCGCACTCTTAATGACTTACGTAGCGAAGGCTTGTGTCACCAACGTGAGATCAGCTAAGAGATATTCCCACGTGATGTATAAGGGACGAAGCCGTAAATTGGAGAAGCTTTCATATATAATAACGTTTACGCTGGTGTCTATTATGTCTCTGTTATTGGAATCACCAAAATTTCAAGATAAATAGTCTTAAACGAACACTGCGTAAGAAGGAAAAAAATGAATTACTTTCCTTGCTTACTGAACCGCAAAATTATTCTTCTACTATTTTTGTTTTGCCAGATGAGTTTTCTTATTTGATATGGTGACATTAATTGCTGTCAAAAAAGGCAAAAGATACTTATCTGCAAACTGAAGACTTTCGTAAGAGGAAACCCTGAAGTGTTTGTCTCTTAACGAGAAAAATGAAGCTTTTGAATTTGCTTGCATAATACTACTGTGACAGAGAAGACTTGTCGTAAATGGCAGTAAATATTTGTTTTCGAAACCTTTATTTTTATAATTTATTTTTATTTTTGTCATAAATTGTATTATGGATGGTTATCAAGAGCTGTTAGCGTATGTTTTGTTATGAGAATATAACATTATTTACCACCGTATGTCATAATCTTTATACATTGTTCTTTTTCCTTCTTGTGCTTAGCTATAAAGGCCTCTTCAAGATACTGAATTCCCGTTGCTTTTTGGGTATCCAGAAGTGACTGAGCAAAATCATATTTCATATAATGTGTCTTTTTCTCAATCCATAAATATCTCTTATCTGCATCATTTTTAACATTTGCTTTTCTAAGTTAAAAAAATATTTTCTATTTTTTAAATCTATCATTTTTTGGTTTTGTACGCCAGAGCATATTTAAGTTAGCTGGACCTAAATGTGTTGGGTCTTGAGAAGACAATTTCAATGAATCCTTTTATAGTCACGAAAAAACCGTGGACGAAAAGATCTCCGCTGAAAAAACAAGGCAAACATCATGCGTATTAAAATGGTTTTTGATTAATCCATGTGTTTTCCGAGAGAGACGCCTTACTTTTCAATTCGGAAACGTTACTAGGTTGAGCAGTAAGTAAAACGATCGAATTTTGAGTTTTGCACCACCCCCATCGACTGGGTGTGGCTCAGTCCTTCTTCATATCTCTTCAACAATCCTTGGCTTGCTTAAATAAATCGCGTTCTTCTTTCTTTTTCCTGTCGCTTTTCATTTTGCCTTCCGGTTACTCGCCGCCTAAGACTAAAAAACACTCTCCAGCATTATCGCATCAACTGATTTTTTCATCTCATTTGCCGCCGTAAGAAAATCGAAATTAAGCAACGCCAAGCCTGGTCAATACCTACAAGGATGGATGTTTGGGAATACCAGGTGCTGAAAGCTTGAATGAACTGGTGGTGTAATGGATAATGACTCGGAAAGTTTAATCGGAGAACCAAGTTCCAATTCCCGTTGGGTTCGTTATATTCACTTACGCGCAAATACCGTTGGCAAAGGTATGAATTCAACTCTTCTCCCCAGTTATGGGTTAATTAGTAAGACTTGTGTCAATAAACCATTATTATCAATCTATAATAAATAAATATATATGTTCTGACTTTAAATAAACTGTAAGATGTTGATAATCTGTAGAAAGCGAATTACTCAATCATTGTTACGTGATGATACTTAGAATCGTTAACTGCCAGAGTCTGCTGATGTTTTATTTGGACTGAGGACAATGCAAGAAGAAGACGCTAGGATTTTATGAAAATTTGCAAGGTTTTCGTTGGTATTACAAGAAACAAGTGGAACGAGATGGTCGATATTCATTTAGAATAGATTTTTTTTCTTTCACTTCACTTGGAACACAGAGACTATATCACAAAAGCGCAGGTGGTAGAAGAAAGGACGTTTTTAATGGTTAACCCTAGCAAAGTCTTGCTCCATTTTTTTTTCGCCTCTGTTAAAATAACAATTTCGAGAAGCGCTTTACAGTATCGTGTTTATCGTTCGATAACCTGCATAGTAACTTGTGGTAACTGGTAATAACTGATGGTAATTATGTGGTAAAATAATGTTCTTTATTTGTTTATTTAATGAAATTCCGAACAACCACTCAATATAGAACGATACTGAGTGTGTTTGGTGATATAATGTAAAAGGAAGAATTAGGTGTTTATGAGGACATGGACAAAAAAGCAGCAGAAGATTGTGAGGGTGCAAACACCTGGATGTAGCAACACGGAACATGGCTGTAAAGGACTGGCTTAGTGTTACTAAAGAATAGGAATATTTGTTTGGAAAGTAGTATAGAATAGTGACAGTTGTTTTCTCTGGGTAAAGGGCTGTAGATTGGAACATGCCACCCCTACAAGTAAAAGGTTTCGAACTCTATCTAGTCTGGAAAGTAAGGATTGTACATCTCCAGCCCATATATTTCAAGTCAGTGAAAGGAATAATCGTTCTCGCCATTATGAAATCACAGAGAAAATACTACGTTCTCAAACGGTACATTTCGAAAGGAAAAAGGAGAATGAAGAATGAATAGAGTAATTAAAAAACAAAAAACAAACATATTATTTATATTCGGATAAATGCCTCCATCATTGTTTTTATTGTGAGAACGTTTCGGCTGTTGTGTGCTCCGGTCTTCTCCAAGTGGCTGTCGATCCCATTAACAAAACTATCAGGGAATTTGTAATTTTTAAAAATAATTTTACCCTAAGTAAGGCAATAAAACCACTAAGAAGCAAGGGATTACTGATCGTGAGAGAATATGAAAAAAAATTGTTAAGGAGTGAAAACAATGAAACAATTAAGTAAACGGAAGATAATGATTAATATTGCATTTAAAATTTTGAAAATCAAACTTGACCAGAAAGCCGGATGACACTAAACAGTTCTATAAACGAGAAGTGTGAGAGAGAAAAAAAAAACTGCTATCATAAAACTTCCTGTTACATCTACCCATTTCAACAGTAAAATTATGACGCCTTGCCACCAATCTAGTTTTACCCTTAGATTCATAAAATCTATATAGCAAAGAGGAAAGCTCATCAGAAAAATTACTATGAAAACATTTATAGAAAAGTCACAGTGTAAGCGGTGGTGAATAAATGACGGAAGTCGAAATGCCCAGTTAGGACCAAGAACATTGACTTTGAATCGAAACATTTATTTCATCTTTAGTGATACATTATTCTTTTTCAGCTGTCTATATCTCGGAATATACTATAATGTTTCTTTTTCCATTTTTTTAATCATTGCCTGGTTAATGTTCGCCTTTTTGACACTGAGTCTGTACTACTCAGCACAGTGATTGAAGTCATAATTACTATGTCACTAAATCCACGAACTAATGCTTTAATCAGGTGGGCTCTAGTATCGTTAGACATTCCCGATCCTAGAAATTCAAGCTTCTTCTTCTTCTTCTTCTTCTTCTTCTTCTTCTCCGTCTCCCTCTTCTTCTTCCTCTTCTATGCTGAGTCCTTTCAGAACTTGGGCAATTATAGTTCTCTAAAACTGTGTGTCCTTTGTAAGTCGTTAGTAAAATTTGTCTTTTTGCTATATCTCTTAAACCTTGTTCTGTGACATAATAAAACAAGTTCGTTAAGTAGGCTATGCGCGGCTTTCCTCTGTCCTTCTTGCCTTTAATATATCCTGTGAGTGTTAAAATTTTCAAGACGTCTTTCCTCATTATGAGCCCTAGAAAATTCAACGGTCTATTTCTAATGATACTTTCGTATTCTTTTTGTTTCGATGTTCTCTAAAAGTTCTTCATTGCTTACATGTTCTGACCATGTATTCTCAGCGTAATAAAGTGGGGCTATATTTCTGTAGACTCCAGTCTCTTCTAATTCTGCGATGAGATTATGAAGCATTCACTGACATAGAGCAGTACCGACAATACGTCACTGCTGAGTACTCCTTTCTTTGTTTCCAATGAATTTTTTCTGTTACTTAATATTTTGCCTACCTTTTGGAAAATGATCTTTCGATATCCCCAGTGCATCTTCGGATTTCGGTGTCATCGTTTCCATTCTCTGTTAAAATAGATATTGAAATGTTTCACTTGTTCAATAAGCCGTTAATGTTCTATAATGCTCTTATTGTCTTTGTGCTGTTGTAGTTACTGTTGTTGTTACGCTTGACCTCCTTTGCCGCCGCTCTTCCTTTCTGATGCTACTTGTCAAGACTTGCTTCCAAAACTGTCGCTCTCCGCCGTCTGTCTGTCTTCGAGGAAGGTTACAGATGCCTCATTAACTAATAATATAAAAGTTTTAATTGGCGAAATAATTGATGGCATTTTTACTCAATTTTACTGCTGTTTCAATTGAGATTTTCTTTCTCGAAGATTTTGAAAAAAATTGTTGTAGAAATCGATTTTTGACTGACGAGATTTTTTAAATTTAACCATTTTTCATCGTGACGATTCAAATATAACTCTCTTTACTTTACCCAAAGTGTTTTGAAATCCTGAAATTAAATTTTTGAAAGGGTAGTTGAATTTAACTGAAAGTGTATTTGAATTTTTGAAAAAAGTGATTACAAGTGACTGATTAATTCAGATTCTACTTCTTATCGACATTTATTTAAAGCAAAAAATATTTTTAGATTGTAAGATGTTTTTTAGGCGAGGTGATAATAATCATTTTAGTTATATAAGCTTTATTAATTAACCCATAGCTGGCGGATGAGGGGGAGGATTTCCATTGCGCGTAAGGGAATATAGCAAACACAACTGGAATTCGAAGTCGGCTCTCCGATTAAGAATTACGAAACCTTATCCATTACACCAGCCGCACGTCCATGCTCCTACCGCCTGGTATATTAAAGCGCCCCCCCCCGCTCTAGAACGGCTTATGCATTTTTGATTTAGTTTTACTGGTAATCTTCTGACATAAAATATGAAATAATATATAAAATAATATGGCTACATAACTTTTCTTCAGATATGTAGCCATATTGAAATCGTTTTATATTTTGTCACTGTTTTTCAGAGCCTACATTTCTGAAATGTGAAAGAAAGGTTTAAGATTATTTTAACAGAGAACGGAAACAGGAACAGAGAAAGATGCTTTCCAAAAGTTAATCAAAGTAAAAAAGAAACGGGAAAAATCTTCAGAAACAAAGGAAATGGTGCTAAAATTTTATATAATATCAGCCATCTTTTATGCCAGTAACGGCTGGACAATCTTTTGACAGATGAAGAGAATTGAAACATTTCTACAGAAGGATGCTGAGAATACCATGGACTGAACATGTGAAGAAGAACATTGAAACAAATAGAACACGTATACATAGAATCAGTTTTAATTTTCATTGAACTTTTTAGGACATATAATGAGGAAAGAAGGCTTGGAGAATTTACTCAATGAACAAGGCAAGGGACAGAGAAAAGCAGCTCGTAAACTAGCTTGTGTAACAGGGATTAGCAGAGACAGCTAAAAGACAAATCTTTCTGAGAGTTACAAAAGACAGGAAGTCATATCAAGTAATCAATAGGCGAAGAAGGTAAGAAATAAGCAACAAAAAAAGGTGACTTTTTTGTGTTTCATTCCATTTTTTCTGAGGTGATTTTTTTTTTTATCACGGAGGTTATTGCTGTCTATAATCATTTGAAAGTAGAATGATTTTCCTTTAAATATGTCGGAGAAAGATATATCAGAATCAAATGGAGAAGAACATATCCCGGAATTGTGCACTTCTCAAAGTGTTTCCGGCTTACTGCCACCAGCAACTAATTTTCCTTTTTCATCAGTATTGAGCACATATATAAACACTAGGTCAACGTTCCAGCTTAGCTGACGGAAAAAAAAAAACGTCATATATTATTTAAAATATAACGCGGTCAAACATGATTTTACAAAAAGAGTTAACCTGTAAGTTTTAGGAGAGTAACATCAAAAAACAATAATAATCATAATCGTAGTTGTGGAATCTGTAAAGAAAATATGCACAATGTAGATGTCGAGTATAAATTAACATCTAACTTTATATGCAAATACAGAGTGCGATGGATAAATTGTCGCTGTTTTATATTTTAATTTCGAGCATGCGCATTGCTTTTAATTTTTTCGACTGCACAATGTAGTAGTGTCATTTGGTCATCGTCTTTGAGAAAAAGACCCCCCATGAAGAAATTTACTCCGCCGGAAATTTAGAAACGGCATAATGTACTGCTGTCCATTTCCGCCGGAAGCACCAATACGAATGTTTCATGGTGTTTTTTGTCAATCTGGAGACATTGCAGGGGATTCAGAAAGATTTGGATGAGTCTAATGGTAATTGCAAAGGAGTGTGGCAATGATCACTGGTGATGGTGTCGTTATTCCATAATTCATCTTCCCACAGATTCAACACGGGGGCCTACAGTAATATCCTTGAAGAGATAGTGATGCCCTGGGTCAAGACAGTGACATTTCTGACAACAGGACTCTGCACCCTGCCACACAAAAAGCAGAACTCAGTCATGGCTGTCTGACAATATCTGCTACCACATCACCCCTTACATCTGGTTACCTAACTCTCCAGACTGAAACCCCCTTGATTATTATGCGTGTGGCACAGTTGAGCGAAAAAACGAACAAAACTCCTTGTAATATAGAATATGAACTGAATGCAAGGATTATGGCAGCATTCACTAACTTAAACAAGGAGAACTTCCAGAAGACATGCAGGAGATTCCGAAGTTGTCTGGACTCCGTGGTTGAAGTTAATTTACTCTTTAGTATTTCAAGGTAATTTTTGTGTAATTTTGGTAAATATATCTAATAAAATGAGATAGTTATTTTGATTTATGAACAATTTAGACGGTAATTCACCCGTCGCAACTTATATTCAACTACACTATCTCATCTCAGGTCTTCGGTACTGAGACGCAAAGGGATTTTATTAAACAGAAAAAAAAATAACAATTATTTTTTTTTAATAATTTGTTCTTAATAAATATTTTTTATTAATAAATTTATCAAAACCTTTCACAATTCCGCGGATATTTGGCTGCAATGCATCCGTCTATTATACCCTTAGCAGATTAAGTGTCATGATTGGTGATATAATGGAATATGCATACACCTGTGTTCACCACCCCCACCACCACCACTGGAATATGATTGTCTGGTATCCGTCATAAATACCGACGGACGTGTAGGTACGACAGAGTGAAAAGCCTTAGTCTGAGAGCTAAGTCTATAACGACGCCCATTGGACTACGCCATTGATCTACACTTCTTACCTGCGACAACGACGCGTACCAGTCGATTACTGCTACCGTATTCTACTTGGTTATAGTAGCCAAAACCACGTCGTTCAAATATATCCCTTTCCGGGACATATCAATTGGTTTTCTTATAAATGTACCATCCCAGTTTAACTATTTTGAGCGATGCTTCCACGCTTATTATTATTACTATTATTATTATTATTATTATTTGTTTATATTACTTTTCCTGCTTTGTATCCTGCAGAATCAGGTTCAGACTATGGTCCTTAGGTCCTATAGGAGAATTGTCATTTAATTGATATCATATTTCTTAGTATATGGGATTTTTCATAGTAGGGTGACCTTCTGGGTAAATTGTATGTTGATGTTACCTGGAACACTGTTAGTAAATTGACTATTCCTTTTCTCACGACGCCCAGTGCTCCGATTACTATTGGTACAGTCTCAGTCTTCATTCCCCACATCATGTTAATTTCGATCTCAAGGTCCTTGTAAATGGATACTTTCTCGATAGCTTTCATGGAGGTGCTTCTCTCAGATGGTACTTCCTGAATTTCATGTCTTTTATGATAATATCAGGTCTGTTGCCTTTTATTTTCCTGCAAGTTCCAATTGGCATGTCCCAGAGGATAGTTACATAGTTATTTTGGGTAACTGTGTCTGGTTGGTGTTCATAACATCTTACACTCTTTTCTATTCTGTAATTCTTGCATATATGTCGCTACCTTGTTATGTAAATGGATATATTCACTTTTTGCTAGTTGCGGATATCCTGAAAAAATAAGGTCGACAGTTTCATCATATTTTCCGCAGATCTTGCATTTCGGGTTAGGTCCTTCCTTGATTATGTGATAGTGATAGGATCATGTTGCGAGGCTGTGCCCCTTAGCTGCAATAAATAGGCCTTCTCTCTCAGCTTTCAAACAGGTGATTCTCAGTCATTGATGTATGTTTTGTTGGTCCACATATGCTTCTTTGTTTGTTTGTTTTTGGAGGGGGGTATTTGCCATGCAACACCTTGACTTCCCAGTCTTTTTGTAATTTCATTTGGCGAAATTGTTTTTCCTTTTGCATTACTCGTTTGGTATACATGGTATTCGCTTCGTTTTTTTTTTTTTTTTTTTTTTTTTTTTGTTCGTAGAGTTTCAGGTGATTTACTTTTTTCTTGAAGACTGCAGCTTCTTTGTTCATGAAATGGATTTCGTGTTTTACTATTTGTAGTAGAGAGTCATTGGTTTTTGGGAAGTATGCCTCCATTCCGATTGTAGTTTTTACAGTTAGTACAAATTGGATTAGACCTCGGTCTACTAAAGTAGCTCTTCTTCTTCTTCTTCTTCTTCTTCTTCTTCTTCTTTTCGTCTTCTTCTTTTCTTCTTCTTTTTCTTTTCTTCTTCTTCTTTTCTTCTTCTTTTTTTCTTCTTCTTCTTCTTTTCTTCTTCTTTTCTTCTTCTTCTTTTCTTCTTCTTCTTCTTATTATTATTATTATTAATAACAACAAGTAGGTTACCGGATTTGGATGCATTTTTGTGTGGATTCTACTCGTAAGGCAAAAACTTTACACTATATCGCGCACATTTGGCTGTGATGCATGTGCGTAGTATATACTTATCAGTCTGGTTGTCTTGATGGGTATATTCGGTTTTGTATATTTTATCTCACTATCAATTTGTTGCTGTGCTACTCTCTTAATAATAATAATAATAATAATAATAATAATAATAATAATAATAATAATAATAATAAACAAAATGAAAGACGTAATTCTTCCAATATTTTACCATATTTTTCAACAGTTAAGAGAAGTGCGCAAATTAAGAAAAGAAAAGACAAAAAAACAAAAGAAAAAACACAGTGTTTGACAGTGGTAACAATATTTAGACAGTATGTCTTTCTTCAAAATCTACATCTTTAAAAAAATCTAGTATAAAAATATATAAATGTACAAAAAGTTATAAGTGTTATCGAATGAGCGTTCAGAACATTTTAATATAAATGACTGGAATTTCGAAAATCATCTTAAGTGAACATTCAGAAAAAATGTTCAGAATCTACAGACGTTTGAAACCTTAAAATGCATAAGGATAGTTACATATGCAAATTACTAACTTCCCGCCCCAGGGAAAGAAATGATCAGAATGACAGCATATTTCCATATAATTTATACTAAACTAATCAATTAATTCCTCTTCGTAACTAACCAGCTAAGGGAAAATTACAAGATGAACAAGATCACCATCATATTAAGCATGTTTCATTTTCCTGCCATTCATGCTGGCGGCGTTTCGTTCGTTTTGACGCATTCGTTACGACTACAGCCGTTGTTTTTTTTTTTTGTTTTTAAGAAAACAAGACAAGCAACGTTTGTACAAATACTTATAATTTTTTTATATATTTATATATTTTTATACTTGAACCATTTTTCAATAAGTGGACAGACATAGTGTCACAATTGTACATACTGAAATTTTAAGTCATGGAGCGTTTTTGAGTAGGGGTCGTGTCTGCGAGGTATTTTCGTGTATGTAGGAGCGCATGGTAACGAATAAATTCTTATGGAGAATAAGTAAATTGTAATGAATGAATGGGCTGTGAATCTGATTAGCTCGGTATAGGATAGCTAGTGTCGACCAACCTTGACCCCTTTCCCCTCCATTTTTTCGGCCTCGTGCTACAATTACTGTATTTAATAAGAAATAAATCGTAGACTGACATACTGTCGAAATATTGTTTAACAATGTCAAATACTGTGCAATTTCTTTTCCTTTTTCTTTTCTTAATATCGCTCTACTCTTAACTGGTATAATAATAATAATAATAATAATGATAATAATAATACTCATGATAATAATGATGATGATAATAATAATAATAATAATAATAATAATAATAAGAAGAAGAAGAAGAAGAAGAAGAAGAAGAAGTAAGTAAGTAAGTAAGTAAGAGAGAGAAATACAGAGAAAAGAAACGGCAGAGAATGATGGATGTACCACGATGGAAAAATGTCATTGCGACGTCAGGCTTTCTTTTATTCTTTTATTGTCGTTTTTTTATGTAGTTTTCTGCTATCTCGATTAGAGTATTTAATTTTACATTTTTTTTTCGATTTCACTGATACAGACGTCAACCAATAGAATGTTATCTCCTCCTCTATCTTCATTTTCTTTCTTTCTTTTCCTGAAACCAATCAGCATCTGACTTTACCCTCTTCCCTTAATATTAAAACGGAATAATCTATTATTTATGTGATATTTAAAAGCGTAACGTATACATTAACTAACGAACGCACAAGTTAAGAAACAAGGATTAATAATAATGATAATATTAATAATGGTGATTTGATGATGATAATAATAATAATAATGATGATGATAATAATAATGATAATAATGATGATGATAATAATAATGATGATAATAATAATGAAAATAATGATGATAATAATAATAATAATGATATAATGATTAATAATGATAATAATAATGGTATAATAATAATGATGATGATGATAATAATAATAATAATAATGATGATAATAATAATGATAATAATGATTGATAATGATAATAATGATGATAATAATAATAATAATAATAATGATAATAATAATAATGATGATAATAATGATAATAATGATTAAGAATAATACTGATAATAAGAATAATGATAGTAATAATGATTACAATAATAATAATAATAATAATAATTATAATAATAATAATAATAATAATAATAATCTTAACGCTTGCAGTAACTCTTCATCAAAAGCCTAACTCGGCAAGGTTCTTATGGTCTCTGATCTCAATTAATATGACATGTTAATATGTACTTTATTTGTCTGCATGTATTCAAGTAGACTTTTAAAAAAGACCTCTCAATTAGAGACCCGCTGAACGGATTGGGTTACCCGACCCGAAGCTATTACTGACAAGTTTCGCAAAGTTTTATGCAGCTTTTAACATGTTTCCATATTATGTATATTTGGCTGTGATGCATGTATCTCGTGTACACTTATCTATGTCACTGGGTGACATGATAACTATACTTGACTTTGTATATGTGTACACCAGGGTCGCTTTGCTCGATTGTTGCGTGCCCTCTCTGTCTTCTTCTGTGAGTCGTGACCATTCAAGGCGTTGGCGATTATGGCTCTCCACTATTTTCTGTTATTTGAAGCTCTTAATAAGTTTTGTTATTTTGTGATCTCTCCTAAAATCTATTCCCCAATCCATTTACTCAAGTTTCACTAGGTATGTTATGCGTTGTTTTCCTTTTGAATACATCTTCTCCTGTGAGTATTAAATTTTCCAAACCCACTTTCCTCATTATATGCCCTACTGATTTCAACTGTCTCTTCCTGAAGTTAGATATATGTGACCTCTTTGTTTCCATTTTCTCTAAAACTTCGTCGCTGTCCCCACCCAGTCTATGGTATTCTCAGCATCTTTCTGTTGCTTCAAGTCTTTTCTTCATGTGTGAGAAGATTGTCCGGCATCTGCCTTCATATTGGAGGAATGATAATACGTCACATTTCAGTACTCTCGTCTTTGTAACGATATATTTTTTTCTTTCTTAATACTTTGCTTAGCTTTTGGAAGGCATCTTTCTCTATGGCAATGCATCTTCGGATTTCGGAGTCGCACTTTCCGTCCTCTGTTAAATGTTTTTAACTTAAGGCACTTACCAGATATTTAATCAGTTATACTTTGTCAACAAGAACAACAAGAACAACAACAACTACAACAACAATAATATTATTTTAGTAATGCTTGGATTAATCCCTCATAAGATTAAAAAAAGAAAGTGAACAAAATAGTATTACAATATATCTTCCAAGTGGGGGGGTGCCTAGAAGTGGACGGAGGGACAATATGTAACTTCCATAGCTACAACAAAAGGTTTTTTTTTTATTTATTTGGTACGTGTAAAGGTTTCCAGCTATTATGTTTTTTCAACTGTATATTGAATCTAGTTTTCAAGCAAAAGTGCTGGAAAGTTTTGTTCCTACCCAATGTTATTGAGTCAGCGATTGGTTCGTTTGATTTATGAGACACAAGTTTTAATATTTAACCCATAGTTGTGGGAGAAGTTGTGAATTCATACATTTTCCCAAAGATATTTGCGCGTAAGTGAATATAACAAAGCCATCTGGAATTGAAACTCGGATCTCAGATTAAAAATTCCTGGCCATTATCCATTTACACCACCAAGCTTATGGCATCAAATATTACCAAGCGGTCACCTATCTAGGTACTGACCAGGCTCGACGTTACTTAACTTCGATCATAGTTCTGGAAACGATGTTTTAAACTTATTTAGCCGTAAGCCCAATGTTATTGATTTGCTATAAATAAATGAGAGAAAAAAAACCTTTAATTAATTAATGTTTAATGCTATGTCCATTCTGGATGTTGCTGGTTATGGCTCTCCACGGGTTCCTTTTATTATCTGTGTATACCATTGGAAATACCGTGTAATCGTTCCTTGCTGTCTCCACAGTTTTCAATTTAAAATAATCCTTCTCATAGATTGACTGCCAACATAGGCTATAGAACACTCGGTCTAAACTAGTATTTCACCCATAAGTAAAGTTCTTTGTTTAATATTATGCAACGCCAGTCTACAAGATTCAATGAAGGATGGTCTTTTTTAAGTCCTACGGGGTTCGTTTGCTTGGAGCCATTTTAAATCGCTGTTTAAGATAACGGCCGTATACAGCTGATAATTTAGAGATTTCTGAGGGGAATAAACGCCATACAAAACGTTCCAATGGGGTTCTTGATCTGACGAGGAGGTTTAAGTACAATATTTTGGACAAACTAATAAGGCAATTTCTCCTTCTCCAAATGTACAATTCTCATTCATTAGACTTCGACAGATGCAAAGCAATGCGTAGCACAAGAATTGTCTATCGTTCTTTGATTCCAAGCACCTTAATTCTTGTTCGGTTGCTGCCAGCTTTTGGTAATTCAGATTTCCCTTTGCGAAAAACCACCTATCCCTACCCAACGACAGTCATTCCATCTCCGATTTGCCTCCAAAAATCGACGGCACTAACAATACCTTCACCTCTTCCATCCCTTTAATTTCTCTTGGGACGGGTAGCGGGGGCGACAAATAAACAGTGTTCATGCACAGTGGGCTCAAATGCGAACCACATGTTTCTCTTTACCCGGAGAAAGCGAATGGTGACAGAAATTGTGTGAGGTTTCTCAAAGTACGGGGGAGAGATGAGGTGGAAACTCGACATGAATGAGGGTCGTTATATATTTTTTCTGCTTTATCCACGCAGACATTTCTTCTTCTTCTTCTTCTTCTTCTTCTTCTTCTTCTTCTTCTTCTTCTTCTTCTTTTCGTCTTTTTATTCTTCATGTGTTTCCCTCAAGCCCTACTTATGTCTGCAGCGTACATTCTAAACTGCATCATTTTGCCAACAAACCAGGTTACTTCTAGTTATTTCCACTCAAGCTATATTTTCTGCTGCCAGTCAGACCAAAACATAAGCAGAAATGCGAACCTCTCAGGGTTGGGACGACTGTTTTAAATTGGTTAAGCCTCTTGTGTTGCAAAATTTTCATTTAACCAGATAAAATCCTTGACTGACGGGCACGGGTTACGAACACTTATGAAATTAAAGGACTCCTTCAATATACAGCAAGTAAATTATATATAAATGTCTAGGAATACATACATACATACACAATATATATATATATATATATATATATATATATATATATATTTTAAAGACATTTTTATGTTTAACGTTCTTTCTTTTTTTATAGATACAAGTATTTAAGTAAATGCTCTGTTTATAATAAACAGTATTAAATAACATTTACCGGCCTAAATGTCCGAGAAATTTTCATAGAAAATATTCGTCCTTTGACAGGATTCGAACCTGGATCCTATACGGAACCGTCATTTAGCTGACGTGCCTTACAGGTCGGCCACAAAAAAGCGTTCGGTAGACAAGGTCGAATTTACTGCTTATAAACTTCAATCTTCCATGAATCTCGTACATTCATAACTGCTCTGGCGTATCGAATGTAAACAAATGACGTCATATATTAAGAAATGGACAAAATTCCGACAATTTATTTATTAAAGACATTTTTATGTTTAACGTTCTTTTTTTTTTTTTTTTTTATAGATACATGATATATGACGTTTATTATAAACAGAGCATTTACTTAAATACTAGTATCTATAAAAAAAAAAAAACGTTAAACAAAAAAAAATGTCTTTAATAAATAAATTGTCGGACTTTGTCCATTTCTATATATATATATATATATATATATATATATATATGTTTGTATATATACATATAAAAAATCAGAATAATAAAATATAAATATCTATGCAAACTATTAAATCAACGGAGAGAATTAATCACGAAATGTATGCACAGAAATAAATTCCAAATTATATAAGTATATAGGTGCATATATTTGGAGGTGTATGTGTACGCACAGTGGCATATATGTGTGATCAGGTAAATGTAGATATATATGTATGTATGAAGATATGTACGCATATAAGATTGTTAGACAGCACGTGTTATTTCATTGGGTGCTCTGATATTACCCACAATCTATAAATCTATGACTCAAATAATTTACATTAATCTTAACGGACATAAGTTTAAATTCCACATCGCTTATTAGTACAAAAAACTATTTACTGTGAATGCCAGAGAAAAAAAAAGTAGAAAAAAACAAACACCGGGACCTTTATAAGAAACACAATATTGTAGGAACTGATATTAAACTACAAACCAAAATACTAGCCATAAATAAACGCCAAATCCAGACCGCTTCCCACGAGATAACGCCCCACCAATCGCTAACACGGAGCCACTCTCATTATCAAGGCGGCTACCAGAGAGGGCTAGAATTTGAAAATAAATTAAGAACAATGCATCAAGACAAGCACCTAGAGGCTGACGAAAGACGTTGAAGAACTGTTTGAAATAGTCTATTCCGATATTGAGGTAATTACCTGTACTCTCTCTCTCTCTCTCTATATATATATATATATGCACTATCGAATATATATATATATATATATATATATATATATATATATATATGAAATGGACAAAATCCGACAATTATTTTAAGACATTTTTATGTTTGTTCATTCTTTTTATAGATACAAATATGTCTTAAAATAGTTGTCCATTTCATAATGTGCGACGTCATTTGTTTACATTTGGATACGCCATGAGCAGATATGAATGTACGTCAGACAGGAAAATCAACCTTGCTAACCGAACGCTCCTCTGTGGCCTAATCGGTTAAAGGCACGTCAGGCTATGTGACGTTTCCGTATATGATACAGGTTTGAATTCTGTCGGAGGACGGATATTTTCTATGAAAATTTCTCGGACATTCAAGCCGGTAAATGTTGTTGAATACTGTTTATTTATTTAAATATTTGTATCTATAAAAATAAAACTGTATTTTTATTTTGATCATTTTAAAGAAAAAGAAAACACATTCACTTCATTCAATTTATTTTCGCGTAAACTTTATATTTGCACAATTTTGATATGTGGAGTAATGCAGTTTCAACAAACACACACATATATACAGGGTAACTTGAGGCACTGTAATGGTTAGCAAGGTTGTCTCGCTAGAACACTTTTGACTGAGTTGTGATTCCGATACTCACTAGGTGGCCCGTATTTTCGTCCTACTTTCGCTTGGCAATTAACTATACATGTTGCGATGGATAAATTGTCGTTTAATTTACGCAAAAATGAAAATAACACTGACAGATATATTTACCAAAATTAAACAAAAATATCTGAAAATACCAAAGAATAAATTTATTCAATAAAATCGTCATTGGCTTTAATCAAGGTCTCCAGACAACTCCGGAATGTTCCCCATCTCCTCTAGACGTTCTCCTTGTTTAAGTTAGTTTAAGCTTCCGTGATCCTTGGATTCAAATTCATCTTTGAAGTTTTGTAGGTCTCTCGTTCCACACATAGTAATCAATGGGTTTGCAGTGTGGGGAGTTAGGTGGCCAGACATAAGAGGAAATGCAGTCGCAAAAATTGTCTGACAGCCATCTCTGGGGTTCCCCTGCATGTGTGGCATGATGCAGTGTCCTGTTGTCAGACATAGGGTCTTCTAGCAGTCACCCTCTTGACTCAGGCATCACTACCTCCGCAAGACCCTTGATGTAGGCATACGTGTTGAGTCTGGGGACCACACCAACAAATTCGGGTGTTCCTTTCTCAACAAAACGATCAGAATGAATTTCCCAAGTTGCCGTACGTTCGTAATCATCATTACGCCAATAAAACTCTTTCAAAATCCTCTGCACTGTCCTCAGATTGACACACAAACACACTGAAATGTTCGTATTGGACATTCCGGCGCGATTGCCAAGCAGAGCACCATGCCGTTACCAAATTTCTGACGGGGTGAATTGCGTCGAGGAGTCTTTTTTAATAGACGGTGCCCAATTAACCCTACTATCAAAATCAAAATCAAATAACGCGCATGCGCGAAATTGAAAATACAAAGTGGTGAAAATTCACACATCGGAATCTATATATATATATATATATATATATATATATATATATATATATATATATATATATATATTCTTAATAGAAATCTTATAAGGTTAAGAAACTATACTCGCACGGAAAAAAAGAAAGAACCAAGAACATGTACGCTAACCGAAAATAATCGTCCAGCAAACGAGTTCAAGGCCTAAAGAAAAAAACCGGATGCGAGTATCCAAAACAACTAAATAAAGTGCTCAATACAATGAGTAGAGCAGACCTAGTTAAATCTAGAGAGCCAGACACACCTACCAAGGTTTTACCTAAGCGGATCGTCATGGAAGGCTGGTTCCTACCCTGACGATCCGCTTAGGTGAAACGTTGGTAGGTTTGTCTGGCTCTCTAGGTTTAACTATATATATATATATATATATATATATATATATATATATATATATATATATATATATATGTGTGTGTGTGTGTGTGTGTGTGTGTGTATGTGTGTGTATATGTGTGTGTGCAGGAACACAATCTTCAGACACAAAAAGAATGGGTTCCGGCACGAAAAAAAGGCTGTATCACTAGTTATTGACCTCTGTGTACATTTTTTCTTTATTTATTGACGTACCCACTATCCCTCACACTGGATTCTGTAACCAAATAATATAGCATTATTTATAACACACACACACACACACACACACAAACAGACACAGACACACGCACACGCATATATATATATATATATATATATCTCAAGTGTAATAATTTACTGGTTTACGGACATATCACGTAGGATCACCGAAGTTAAGAAACGTTGTGCCCAAATGGGTAACCGTTTAAGAATCCCATGTGCTGTTAGCTTGGATATGCAGATGGTGTAATTGATAATGGCTCGGAATTGGAAGTCTGAGAGCCGAGTTCTAATTTCCGTTGGGTACATTCTATATTCCTTACGCGCAAATATTCTTGGGAAATATATAATTGCACCTCTTCGTCTCCCAGCTATGGATTAATTATTATTATATCTATCACTAACTCATTATTACTGAAAAATATATTCCCACCATCTAAGAATACTTTCTGGCTTTAAATAACCTGCAAAAGGTTGATAAGCCGTAAAGAAACGAATCACTCATTCAATATTTGTTTCCCGCTTCATAATACTTTTGCAAGTCATTTTTTGCCATTTAAACAGATCTTCTGATTTTGGGTTTCATTTTCCATTTTCTTTATTGGATTTTGATATTTCCAAATCCCAAATCGTATCTTGGTTTGTTTCTGTAGCTAACGGCCATGCGTTTCTTTTCTTTTTTTTTTTTAAATTGACGATTCTTTCTTTCCCTTAAACGACATTGAATTCAAACTGAGATAAACATTATACGGAATTGGTATTTTACAAGCCTGACACATGTAGATCCGATTTTAAACCGGAGTTTCCATGCTTTACTAAGAATCATTTCCTGGTATTTGTTTTTTTTTTTATTTACTGTTCAGTTTTGATTATGTTATTTTTCATAAGGTATAAAAGAAACTAATTCGAAGATTTTCCGATTTTTTAATCATTGGTTATTCTAATTTATTTCAAGAAATCTTTTTTTTTTTCTTTTGTAAGTAATGTAGTCGAGATTTTTTTTCTTTACCACGTTAGCTGAATGGTGGGAGAACACACAAAATTGAGCTAGAAAAATAACTGGCGGAAAAATATCTAAAAGAAGCCAAATGACTCATCAGACTTAGTTTTCTAAAATGTCGTATTTTACCAAGCTTCATATTACAGCTTAGAATTCTTATAAAGCTTCAGAAAGCAAATGTGTGTCGTTGCAAGGAGATTTCCGATACATACATTTGAAATATATTTCCTATATTAACAAAATTAATCTTCGTGCATTTACAAGTTAGTTTCAATTACTAGTAAGGA